TTCTTTGGAATCAAGGACAAGAGCCATCTTACTTATGACAAACAGAACTTTACTCCACAATCGTGAACATTTTTTCTACTTGTAAGTCTTTTATGTACATAATGCATCTCATCTCTCTCAATGTGACTAGGCCCAGACATTATCCATAAAATTTTACTGACCGCTATATGCATCTTTGCTTCTGAACATTCATATTCTGTGATAGTTACACAGGGTAAATCAAAAAGCATTGCTATAAGGGTTTCAGCTAATATATGCTCAGGTTTTTTCCTACCAACATGTGTTTAAATGTGTTTTTGCAACCGGTAGAAGGCTACAGACAAATTGTCTCAGTAATACATATGGCTTGGTCTCCTTGGGGTGCTTTTGACAAAGTCCATTCAAAACAATGTCTTCTGAGAGGTTCTGTTGGGGCAGATAAATTCAAGGTCAAGGCCAGCTGAGAAAGATATGGTACCTTTTGAGGGGATTCCCAAGGGATCATCTTTATAGATTTTCTTGAAGGAATAAGACGATTGTGGAGTCTTAATAGAAAGAAGTCTTTTAAAATTGAAAGTGACATTGGTGAAAAAAAGATCAGGAAATTTGCACCGAGGATTTTTTTTTTCTTCGTCATGACAAGGCCCCTGCTCCTTCTTTTAGGAGAGAATTCCCTGAGAAAGTCTTAGTCCATCCATTGTAGAGTCCTGACCTTGCCCTGTCCAATTGTGTTTGCTCCAAAAGCTCAAAGAAAAGGAAAATTATTTGAGTCCCTCATGAAGCCAAAACCACTATTTTAAAACAACTGTTTTGACACAATGTGACTTGAACAGCACAGAATCCTTTGGGAAAGGGTTAGAGACATGGACTGAGTACACCTTCAGCAGTGTATAGGCCTAGAGGGAGGATATGTCAATAATAATAGCTTCCCTGAAATTGATTGTGGTGATGATTGCACACTTCTTCTTAGTATGATTGAATGGTTCAATTGCATGATATGGTAAGCTTGGGCCAATAAAACTTGTTTAAGAAGAAATAATAGCTTCACCTTTTGATATATTTGCTTAACAATTTTGTGTCTCAGTAGGTCCTTTGTTTTATTGTTGTTGTATTAAACTTAGACTCTAGGTATATTCACTGTATACTTTAAATAATATTAAGAAACTGAACTTTGTAATTAAATTGTACTCTTCAACCTCAAATGTATAATTAAATATTAAAGCATGGGCTTTGAGTTTACAATCTTGACATTTTGGCCATTAATATAAAATGGGTGTTCCGGCTTATACAATGCAATCCATTTCTCCGGCTGTCTCATCGTCAGATCATTTGGCGATTAGACTTTGGATTCTGAATTTTTTACCTCCTTCTTGATGGCCTTTCATTTTCTGAAAGTATTTTGGTCATTTCTTTCCCCAGTACATACACCTTTCTTTTACATTCATCTACTTATTTATCCATTAATTGATTCACACTACAAATACTTACTATGCACTGACTATGGGTCAACCACTGTGTAAAAAAAATTTTTTTTAATTCACTAGTGATTGTACCATTACTTCTATCCTCAGAAAGAGATTAGTCTGTTTCAAGGAACCATAGAAAAGCTTTTTAAAGGTCAGGAAGGCTTCCTAGAAAAAGTGACTTTTAATTTGAGATTTGAAGTAACAATTAAATAGCCCAAACGGCTTTAAAAGGGGAGGGCTTGGTGCATGGAGCTTTCTAGGCAGAAGGAAGACTGTGTATCAAGTCTTTAAGTAAAGGAAAAGCAAAATGTGGTCAATAAGAATTAATTTGGATAATAGGAGAATACATTTTCAACTAACCAATTATTAGACTGAGATATGAAGAGATTTCAATTACTTTCACCATTTCCCTAGTGTGACCTTTAAAAGTATTTCAGCAGCAAAAAAGAGTGTTTATATGTTTGCCTCTGGGTTTATTATAGAAGCCATCCAAGATGACAAAAAATGTTGCAGAATTGAAGGAGATTTTATAGAATTTTGTTTGGTGGCTCAGAATTTAAAGAGAAATATGTATATCTGACCCTTTAAAATGTGATTATTTTAAAAGTGAATATTTAGCAATATCTTAGTTCTGAAAACTATACCTTAAATCCTGTCATATTTTATTTAAGTGAATTATGTATAAGCAATACTTAAAAATCTGAATTTATGTCAAAGAGCAATGTTGATTTTCCTTCCTAAGATAATTCAAGAACCCCCAAAGACCCTTGAAGAATTCTTAACATCCCAGAATTGGGTGAGTAGAACAGCCTACTTTATATGCTGATACACCTTTTAAAAAAATCATTCATGGATTTGAGAAACACATCTCAGTATGAGCAGTGTTTATAAATATTCATCTCCTTGCAGTAAGATCTTATTGTCAGCATTTCTTCTTGTCAACATGCTATCCTCTGCTTCATAGTTTAAAAATTCTAACGTATATCCTGTCAGAAGAATGGTACAGCCATTTCTACATAAGTTTGCTAATAAGATTTTGGTCTTATATAATTATACCTTAAAGAATCTCTGAGAAGCATACCTCACATAACCATCCATCGCAGCTGAGACACACAGGTAGCCTTAGAAATATTTCATCAATATTCTCTGATTATTGACTAAGAGTGAAATATGTAAAGTGTGCTCACATAGACAGCTATTTCCTTTGTTATGTACAACTCCTAAAATATTCTGAATTTATTAGCTTGGTATGAGTGTATCTTGGATCCAAAACAAAACAAGCAAGCAAACATACTGTCACTGAGTCAATTTTGACTCATAGTGACCCCAAAGAATAGAGTAGAATTGCCCATGTGGGTCTCTGAGGCTGCAACTGTTTATGGGAGTAGAAAGCCTCATCGTTCTCCCTCAGAGCAGCTCTAGTTTCAACCTGAAGCCCTTGCGGGTAGCAGCCCAATACATAACCACTATGCCAACAATGCACTTGCAAATCTGAAGGCTGAGTTGTTTTTGTATTGAGGAGCGTTAACTAAGACCTATGATAAAAACAAGTGTGGAAGATCATGTGTGTGTATGTGTTGGTGAATTATAATATAAATAAGTAGTATCTGTCCCTGGATGGCACGAATGGTGTGTGCTCAACTACTAACCTACAGGTTGACTATTTAAACTCCCTCAACAGCACTGCGGAAGAAAGGCCTGGTAATCTGCTTCTGTAAAGATTGTAGCCAAGAAAACGCTACAGACTAGTTCTATTCTGTAACAAACACGGGGGTAATCATGAATCCCAATCAACTCAATCCAAGGATTTGATTTTTATTTCAGTTTCAGGGGAGGAGATGAGCCAGTCAGGGTGCGATGTAACAATGATGAGAAATACAACCTTCCTCTAGTTCCTAAAGGTTTCCTCCCCGCTCCCACTACCATGACTCGAATTCTATCTTGCAAGACTGGCTAGACCAGAGGAGGTACACTGGTACAGATAGGAACTGAAAATACAGGGAATCCAGGATGGATGAGCCCTATAGGACCAGTGGTGTGAGTGGCAAAACAGGGAGGGTAAAGGGAGAATGGGTAGGAGGGAGGGAACCAATTACATGGAACTGTGTGTGGGACAGACAACCGAAAAGTGGATGAAGGGAGAAGTCGGACAGGGCAAGATATGACAAAATACCCATTTATAAACTATCAAGGGCTCATGCGGGAGGGGGGAGCGGGGAGGGAGGGGAAAAATGAGGACCTAATGTCGGGGGTTTAAATGGAGAGAAAATGTTTTGAGAAACGATGTACAAATGCGCTTTACACAATTGATGTGTGTATGGATTGGGATAACAGTTGTATGAGCCCCCAATAAAATGTTAAAAAAAAAAAAAAAAGAATTTGCAGTGACTAAACTATTGGCAGTGGAATTTCAGAAATATCTATTTTTAAATATCTTTTTGTGGTTGTATTTATTTAAGTCCACTTTCCCCCAAATGTTTAGGCAAAGGGTTGTGTTCCCTTTAAGAACAAATAGAAAATGAAAATATTCTTAGTTGACCAAAGTTTATTTTAATCACTATGGCAGATGAAAAATTTTGAAGCACTTTTAGGACAAGCTTTTTCTAACTATTTTGACTTAAAGAATGATACAATTTATGCATGGATTGTAATTAGCATTGTAAGAGCTCTCAATAAAATGATTAAAAAAAGAATGGTGGAAATATGCTTCAACCTAATGAAAATGAGGTTATGTTTTAATGCCACAGGGGAAAGATTACTGGTAAAAGTAAACCCAGTAAATAATTATGGAGACTTTTGGACTAGACTGTCACGCATGGTTTTGTTGGCTCCTGTCAAACATGTTCTGTCTCGTGCTTACCCATCTGTTCACTGTGGAACTGTGCCATCAGGTTTCTAAGGCTGTGCCCTTTCAGAAGCAGATTACCAGGCCTGTCTTTTGAGACATCCATGCACAGTCAACCTTTCCGCTAATAGAAAAACACTTATCCACTTGAGACCTAATAAGTTCAGGTGAAAAGTTCTAATAAGGCAAAGTGGAAAATGTACAATGTTTAATATGAGAATGACTTAATCAAATCAGGATCATAGATTTATTCCAGATCTTTTCTATAGACATAATAAATGTCACAGTATTTGCCCAAGTACAAAGTTTAGAGGGCTTGAAGGGTTAAGAAAGAAAGAGGAATAAAAAGAGGAAACACAATGTTTTAGGCTGGGTTCACTAGAAAAGCAAAGCCCATAAGTATATTTATAGAGAGAGATAGATATGTATCAGTAAAATGGCTTACACAGTTGTAGAAGCTGGCAAGTCCAAATCCAGGCAGGATTCACATCTGTTAGGCTGGTGATGAGGAGCCCAAGTTCAGCAGACAGGTCCAGGCTGGTGGATGCAGAGGCAAATGAATCCAAGGTCAGCAGATCAGCCTTCTGGCTGCAGGGGTGAATGAGTCCAAAGTCAGCGGGTCTGATTTGTAGCTGCTGAGGTGAATGGACCCCAAATCAGCAGGTCAGATGGGAGGGTGCTGACAAATCCCTGGATCGGCAGACAGTATGGCAGCGAATTGGTTCAAGTCCAAAGAACCAAGTCAATGAGCCAGATGCAGGATTCAGAGTGAGCAAAAGGCAATCAAGCTTTTCCACAATGTTCACTTATGGAGCAAGCAGGCTACTCCCCATAGGAAACTTCCTTTCAGTTGACTGCATCAGGGTTGTGACCTGAGAAAGGGTGTTGCATCCCACCCTAATCTTCTTACTATACTACTGATTGGCTGTGATTCCTTTGTGTCAGAACAGCTCTTGTGTATTTACTAGGTGTTAACTACCAAACCACTGAGCCAGTCAACTTGACACAAAAGTTAACTCTCACACACAGGGATGAAGGTAGACAAATATTATCACATTGTGGCGATTGCAATCAGTGACATGAAATGAAATGTGTATAAATTACTCTGGAAATATTCACCTAATACACATTTTTAAAAAGATGTAATAAAATAAAAATCAAAGTGTATATCTTATCAGTGGCATTGTCATTAGCACTATCCTTATATGCAAAGGTTAGCATCTATATTTATAACTTTTAATTTTATCATATATAACATTTGATAGAATAATATTATCCAGTTTAAGTATCAGAAAAGGTGTGTATCAATGTTGAATCCTCTGTCCATATTTATTCAATCTATATGCTGAGCAAATAATCAGAGAAGTTGGATCATTTAAAAAAGAATGTGTCATTAGGTTGGGAGAAAGACTTTTTAGCAACCTTCAATAGGCAGATGACACAAGCCTGTTTGCTGACTGCGAAGAGGACTTGAAGCACTTACTGTTGAAGATCAAGGCATGTAGATTTCAGTAGGGATTACAGCTCAATGTAAAGAAGACTCATGTTCACAATTGGACCAGTAGATCACGCTAATGTAGAACAGGTCGAAGCTGTCAAGAATTTTATCCTGCTTGGATCCTCAATCAATGCTCATGGAAGCAGCAGTCAAGAGATCCAAAACCCATCACATTAAGTAAGTCTATTGTACAAGACCTCTTTAGAGTGTTCAAAAGCAAGGATGTTACTGATCCAAGCCCTGGTATTTTCAATTTCCTCATATGTGAAAATTAGACATTGGATAAGGAAGACCTACGAAGAACTGATGCATTTGAATTGTAGTGCTGGAGAAGAATATTAAAAGTACCATGGACTGCTGAAAGGACAAACTGACCTGTCATGGAAGGAGTAAGGCCAAAGTACTCCTTCGAGGCAAGGATGGCAGGACTTCGTTTTACATGCTTTGGACATGTTGTCAGGAGAGACCTGTCCTGGAGAAGGACATCATGCTTGACAAAATAGAGCGGCAGTAAAAAAAGGAAGGCACTCAACAAGGTGGATTGACGCAGTGACTGCAACTGCGGGCTCAGGAAAACAATTGTGATAATGGCCCATGAGCGTGCAGTGTTCCTTCTGTTGCGTGTAGAATCGCGATAGGTCAGAACCTGTTCAATGGCACCTAGCAACGATAATTGTAGTACATTTACTACTGATATGCTGATGTCATTTTGCCTATAGAATTTATTCACTAATCTTTTCCTAGATTTCCAAAAAATACATTCATATTCTGTAACTTTTCCATTTTTCTAGGGCTTGAATATGTTTATGTGTTGCCAAACTATTAGAAATATGAAAACACACAGGAATAAAAGAATTTACTAAGTTTTAATCCAGATCTGTGTGTTACTTAGATCCTTTCTGTGGTTTTTCTCAGACGGTCAAAGATATTTTATGATGGAGAAAATATTTACCTTAATCTTATTCTTTTTATTCAGGAAAAGAGTCCACACTTGATTTTTTATTTGCTTATCTTCATTTTATCCATTTACGTATGGACTCATTAACTATTAATTCATTCAGATTTCTTCATGGGAAAGCTTCAAAAGAGAGAAGTCTTCCCAATAAATAGTCCCGTCTTCCTCTAACCCTTGCCGTGATTCTTATTACTTACCCTTTGTCAGAAAGTTCAGTGCTATCTTTTGGGGCTTAGAGCATTACCTTCAGTAAACAAACCTCTCTTCAAACTTTAGGGGAGCCTCTTTATCTACTCTCCCTCCTCTATTTCTTTTATAGTCGTACATAAATAATACAATGTACTTGGGTCACTGCCAGGGTTAATTTGCTATAATCAAATTAAATATAATACACAGCCAAGAAGGGTTACTTCACTAACCTTGTTGTAAAAGAGATAGCTGTTATCTGGAGTGATCACCGAGTACCACAGTACTAATGGAGCCCCGGCGGCACTGTCAGGGAAGTGCTGTTGGATGACTACCCTCTGGAGCACTGGTTCAAACTTCCCACGCACTCTATGAGAGAAGGATGTGACCATCTTCTCCTGTAAAGATGTATAGCCCCCGAAGCCTTATATGGGGCCCTGAGTCAGAATCGACTCGAGGGCTGTAGGTTTGGGCTTGGGGACAATATTGCTCTAATGAAGAAGGACAATTTCCAATTCAGTTTTTTTGTCCTTTTATTTCCTTTAAACTAATGTCACCACTATGGCTCTGACTGCTTAAATTTGGTAGTGTTAAGTTTTCCACCAAAGGAAATGCCATCATTGCAACCTAACAGTTCACCTGCCCCTTGTCTGCTTTTCTTTCCTAAGTCTGTCTGGCTGCAAAATATTCAGAGAATATTCTATCCAAGGGGTAGCTGGTTGGAGACAAAATATAAAGAAAGAGGAAGGTATCGTCTGTTCATCTGATATCCATGCCATCATGCAATTAATAAAGAGCCCAGTAAAGGGGTCATTACCTTCTTTGTGTTAATCAGTTACTCTCCCGATTTTCTTGTCTATGTAGAGGAGATAGAGTCTCTGGGTTTGTAAGGCTTGAACATGCTTTATTCACCATATAACACAATTCAATATCAGGGGATCATATGAATTGTATGTCAACAAAACTGTTAAAATGAAAAAAAAATGCGTATTGTGAGAGAAAAGATCATAATACCTCAAATCCAGAACAAAGGGTACCTGTACATAGTATAAAGGGTGTAGTTTCATAAATGTTCATGCACATTTTAAACTCTTTTCCATTGTGACCTTACTTTACTCTATCAACTTCCATAAGAACAGATCCCCATGACCCCATACAAAGACTATGTTTCCAGTGTGACTCGCCTCCCCAATAGAAGGGTGTTGGTCTCAGGGATTTTAACATGTGACCTTATCTTTTTCTTCGGAGAGCTTACTTTGGTGTGTTGTGGTGGTTGTTTGGCATATAAAGCCTGATATCTACCTTTTAGTGCTGGAAACTTGCCCCAGATGGCTATGTGTTTCATTTAAGATATATGCTTATGAATTTTGGAAAAGGGAACTTGTCTGTCTAAGTAATATGGTTTTTACAAAATAGCAAGGGGTTCTAGATCCCTAAGGGAAATTTTTCAAGAAATAAAAGCTGCATATCATTCAGCACCTGTCAGCATTAGAAAGCACAGGTTATTTGCACCTAGGTCCGTTCCCCCCTTGATCTTAAATATATTTACATATGTACATGTCTGTATTTAGGCTTGTATGTATGCCCTTTGCCTCCTACTTCTTTCCTCTATTTC